TTGAATTTATGATATATGGATTATATGCCAATAAAACTTGAAGAAGAAGAGGAAAATAGGGGGGATGTGGACCAGATCTTGAAAGGCTTCCCTGGGCTTTGGTAGCGTCTATCAAGCTGAAGGTGAGTGCCCTGATTCACACAGTTCAGGTGAGCTAATCTACAAGCGTTGAAGTGCTATCACAATGCCAACATTAGCTACTATGACTAGTCCAGCTGATGATGGCAACTGGGTTCTTCCCAACGCAGAAGCCTCTTTGGCCTGCAGACAGAGAGAAGATCCTGAGAAAGCTAAGAAAGACCGTGCAGCAAGGGGCGGGCGACTGCTCAGTCTGGAACACTGGTCCTCACTGGGGAGCGCTTCGGATCTCCAGGTGACGTTTGGAGCCCTGATCGCATAGTGGTTATACATAGGGCTGCTAACCGCAGGGTCAACAGTTCAGAACCAGCAGCCGCTACTCTGGAGAAAGATGAGGCTTTCTGCTCTCGTCAGGTGTTACAGTCTTGGAAACCCCAGGGACCGTTCTCCCCTGACCTAGGGGGTTGCTGAGCCAGGACCGCCTTGATGGCCAGGAGTTTGAGTTCTGAGCAGACATACTTGGTTGTCACAATTGGGAAGAAGCTACTGGAACCTAATGGATAGAGGCAGGGACACCATTGAACATCGTACTGTTCACTGGAGTTCCCAACAGAGAGCACCATCGGGCCCAAAGTGCTAGCCGGGCTGAGGCTCAGAAATCTGGGGCTGGAAACAAGGAGAAGGGAAGAGGCGGGAAACAGAGCCGTGTCCCCAGAGCCCAGGCGGGGCGAATCGGGGAGCCCCTGTGAGGCTTGGGGTGGGCTTGGGAGGATCATCTTGGAATAAACAAAGGCCAGCTCTGGGCTCCAGCAGGCAGAACACTGGGGAAGCACATTATTCATGAGAGCTGCACTGGGGAAGCACATTATTCATGAGAGGAGTCGGTGGGGCTGCAAAGCTGAGGCGTTTTCTGCACTAGCTTCAATACATGTGTGTCTGACCAGGAAAGAAAGGGCACCCAGCCTTCCTGGGGGTCCCTGTGTAGTGAGGCCCCCAGAGGAAGATGGTGGAAAGCAGTGTCTTCCCACAGTCTCTCCCCACACCCCAATCTGGAGGCTGTGAAGGACCACACTGCTGATGCAAGTGGCCTCTCCCTGGCTCTCACATGTCCCCTGGCAGAAAAAAAGCAGAGAGAGAAGAGTAAATGCTCTATTTTGCCACTAACACAAGAGAGGGGCTCTTTGCCTGGTATGAACAAAGGTCCCTAGCAGACGGTCAGTGCCATGGAAACCAGGCTGCAAGGGAGGAATGCAGGCGGTGGGCGGGTGGGCTGGGCCAGTGGGCAGCATGGTCCTCACCCACCGGTCCCGGCCAGCCTGCTGGGACCTGACTGTCCCTGACACACACACCCCTGGCCTACAGGGATCCCAAGACTGACGGTCATCATCTTTACGGATAGACGTTGCACTGGCAGCACTAACGGCAGGTGAGTGGTTCAAACCAGTTGCCCTCAGAAACCCACAGGGGCAGTTCTTCTCCGTCCTGTAGGGCTGCCATGAGTCAGGATGGACCCCACCGCCCTTTGGGTGTTTTGGTCATCTGTACCGGCGCAGATTGTGGCCACAGCTTTTCTCCAGAAAAGCACTATTGGGTTCAAACCATAGACCCTTCATGGTGCCAAGTACGCAGCCACCGAGCCAGCCACCAGGGCCCCCCCAAAAGAACTCAACACACCCCAAACCCAAAGCTCACTGACACTGAGTGGATGCCAACTCACAGTGACCCTGGGGGACAGGGTTGAACTGTCCCTGTGAGTTCCTGAGGCTGGGACTCTTCACGGGTGTAGGATGCCCCATCTCTCCCCCTTGGAGCGGCTGATGGTTTCGAACTGCTGACCTTGCAGTTAGCAGCCCAACACATAACCATGATGAGATGGATCACCTGGGAAACCTTAGGAGGCAACTCGACTCTGTCCTTTAAAGTTGCTCTGAGTTTGGGTTTAGGAAAGGTTCATGATGGAAAACTCAACTTCCTATTGGCCACGTGGATACTAATACCAAAGAGGCATTTTCAACGATGGAGCTCAGTCACCCATTCTAAACGGGTCATAATCACCATGCCACAGGATGGTGCCACAGGATCCTGGGAAAGAGGCCGTTAATGGAGAAAACAGAAGTCAGGCTGAACTCAAACGCGAATCCAACCTCATTCTTTCCCCATGAGGCCTTGCCGTGAACTCCAGCAACTCCAAGGCCAGGGTTGCCCTTAGTTTCGACCCTTAGTTATTAGCTGTGTCTCAGCACCTCGTCTATGAAAGGAGACTGGACTCCATCCGTGGTCTTCAAAAGATGCTTCTAGGTGTTTTGGGCTGCCCCCGGGGAGATGAAGGCCCAAAGGGCAGGCCTCAACAGAAACCAAAACCCGTTGCAATTGAGTGGGATCCTGGTGACCCCAAGGCTGATTTCTTAGAAGCAGATCACCAGGCCTTTCTCTCGGGGCACTTCTGGGCAAGGTCAAACTTCCAACTTTGTGATTAGCAACCAAGTGCGTGCACAGTTGTACCCCTCAGGCCTCCAGCCTGGTTAGACCCAGAGTCAGCCAGAGGGCCGCCTTCTACCTGCTTCCTGGATTAGATCCCCACCAAGTTCCGTTGGATAAAAAGCTTTGGGGACTGAAGAGACCAGATGAGAGGCTCTGGATTAGATGTCCTCACGAGTTTCTTCCAAAGCCCCCCTTCTAGGACTTCTCCATGGGCAGAAACGCCAGGTTGTCAGGGATGGAGAAGGGTGTCCATGGACCACCGGGGGTGGGTGGGTGGAGGAAGCAGAACTTACCTGTGATCCTTCCCACAGTTCCTTTCACCAAGTTGCCGGCATACCCAGCCACGTGCGCGCCCAGGCTGTACCCGATCAGGTGGACGTTCCCCAGAGAGAATTCCTCCTTACTCTGCAAGAAGTCACGAAAAGCATGCTCGGAGACCTGTGCGATGGCAGGCCCCCAAGGTCACCAGCACTGAACAACTCATGGTGACACAGGAGCAGGCACAGGGGCTGTGGGCATGGAGACTTGCCAGAGCCATCGCTGCCAATGACGGCTGGGCATGGATGGGCAACAGCCAGGTAAGGGAGAAGCCAAGGATCTCGGTGGCGTTTCAAATGCCAGTGGCTCAGGGCGGGATGGGAGTTACGAGAGGCTGCATACCTGACCCTTCCCCTACATGTTCTCTGTTCTCTCTTGCAGTGGTGCAAGGGGGTAGGAGGAGGCCGTGCAGAGGTCAAAGTCACCAGATTCCCTAGAGACCAGCATGCCAGCCACAGCCCGCAGCAGTCAGGCCTTGACCTCCACCCCACTCCCAGGAGAGGCAGTGTCCTCACACTCCCACCTGGCGGGGAGGAAGGCAGTGGGGCTTCCACTTGGATGGCTCAGGAACTAAACCCCACAAAGAGCTTCTGCAGAGCGGGTGATCCAGAGCTCGGACCAGAATCCAGCAGACCCCATAGAGAAGAGGAAGATTCGTGTCACGTGGCTAGTGTACCCCTGACCCCAAATAAGGCCTCTGATCTCAGGTAAATCATTAACCTATAAAAAGTCCGTTCAAGACCTCAAGGTCTGTTCTCCGCACTTGCTATCTTAAGTGAGCGTTTAGGCTGCATCTGTTGTAACCAGGCCCCTCCGCCGCCCCCCCCCCCCCACAGGACAGTTCATTGCTCAAGACTCCGCAGAGGCAAGAACAGATGAAGGAGGCTGCTCTTTCAGATGACAAACCATCACAGCCGATCTAAGCACAGCCGTGTCTCAAAGTCAACAAGTAAGGACCCAGAAGGTCAAGTTTCTTGCGGCAAATAAAGTGGACAGTGGGGGAGATACAGAGATGTCACAATCTCAGAATAGCTCTCTGGAAGTCCCAGCTCTCATATGTTTCAAGTGACACTTAGTGTGGTAATATTTTCATCCCCTGCTCCCCCCACCCCATCCCCACCCCCCACACACACAAAGATGTGGACCAGGCTCCTAGAGTGTGTCAGAGTCAAATCGGGTCAGTCTTAGAGGGTTTGGGTCTGTGATCCTGCTTGTGGAAAATGGCCCCCTTTCCTCATTCATCCCCACTCACCTGCAGCCAATCGAGCAACTTGGCAATCGTGTGGCCCACCAGCCTGGTGTGGTTGACAGCGTCCGTGTAAAGCTGATGAGCCAGGGGCAGCCAGTCCACCACCACCACGTTGGCCTCTTTCTCCCTTGTCTGAAGGGCGGACACCAGCTTGTGCAGCCAATTTTCCAACATCCCGCTCATCTACAGGGAATACGAGAGGGGAGCCCCTGACTCTTCCTCTGGGTTGCAGGACTCCTCAGGCATCTCAGAAAGCCGGTGGAATATGGAATTCAACTGGATTCCCAAACCTTCACCATGGCTGCTTGGGGGACCACATATTTGCGAGGGCAGCCAGGACCAAGGTCGCCACAAGGGTATTTGTCGTCCCTGGCTTTTGCCATCCCAGGATTTCCACGGCTAATGTTTGATCGGTGACCAGTGTTCTTGGCTCTTGCCCTCTGCTGGGACTCCTCTGAGATCCAAACCCACAGGCCTGGCATGAGGTTAGTCTGAGTCACTGTCACAGGCACGCAGCAACCCAGGCGTTCGTTCAAAGGCAGCTGGGAGGGTTGCCCTGGAGAATGAGCTGCGCTCCTCAGAGATGCCGGGAGATGCTTTCTCCCGGGCCAGAGCAGGGTTAACAAATGACCCCTTCCCACAACCTGTCTCTGCCATCCCTTCTCAGCCCCGGAGAAGGGACGGCGGACAGCCCCTGGAATTACAAATGAGAATTCACACTCAAGATTGCAAATTTTCCCACAGACTCAAGATTGCAAATGGCGGCCGGGTCCAGCGGTGAACCTGCCCAGAGAAACGCGAGGAAATAAATAGATTTTTCTGTGCCTCGCCTAGGAATCCGAAAGCCACTTGGAAGCTTGTTTCTGTGGGAAATTACGGTTGAGGGTTCCAATCAGATTACAAAAGAGCTTTCTGGAAGGCAACTCATTTGTAAGTCGAGGACAGTTTGTATTTGCATTTTGACAGGGGGCCTTAAAAGACCCAAATGCATGATCCAAATTGCGGACTATAGGGATGAGGATGAGGAGACACAAGTCTCCCCATGAATCACCCTCGTGAGTAAGTGCTGACCCTCCCCTAGGCACGGTCCCGATGGTGGTTGGTGGGCCTACAGGCCCAGAAATCATGTAACGGATATGAATTTCTCATCACGTAGAGGCAGAATGCCCCCGCCCAATTAGCCCAGGCCGGACTGTCACTCTACGAATGAATACATCCCTCTCTGGTCAAATGCTTCTGAGGTTGAGCCTTGAAGCTCTTTTCTGTTGAAGTTTGTCATGGCCTTTTGATGTGAATTGCTCCGAGAGGGCACATAAAGAGACTCCTGCCTTTAAAACAGGCCATCTCTATGCAAACAGGAGGGCATCCTGCCAAGGGCAGCCAGCCAGCCAGCCCCAGCTGGCTCCTCATCTCCTCCCGGAGCCCAGCAAGCTGCTGCCCCTCAACTCCCATCTTAGGGAGAGCTGGCTCCCACCAGGCAGCGGTTGACCAACGTAATTAAGTGTAATTAGAGGGGCTCTTAAGAGCTGGTGGAGCTGGGCCGCTGCCTTAGGAGAGCCACTTTCTGAAAGCTGCTGTGTGCCAGCTCTAAATACCACCCTGCTGGGGCCCACTTTGCCCCCTCCACACAGTGTTACTTAATACATCCTTCACAGATGTCTGAAATACAAGCAGCCCACAAGGGTGGGGGGTGGCGGGGAAGGCAGGGGGGAACTGGAAGCATCAGGATTCTTTTTAATTGAGCAAAACAAAGGAAACCAAAATCCCGTGCAGCGTTCCCTGAGGGGGGGGGAAGGGGGGGCTCACCGTCCATCCGTGAATGATGAAAAAGGTCTTCGCAGTCATGTTGAAACCACAGTCAGCCAACAGCCGGTCGTGGCCCAGGGAAAGGTAGCATCCCTCATGCTCTGGGTCCTTCAAGGTGCGGAGGTTAAACCTCACAGAGGGCTTGGCCACAGCCGGCCTGACATCTGCGGAGAGAGAGAGCCAAGGGTGGGTGTGTCTAGTGGGCTGGCTGGGGAGAGACCTGGGGTCTCATTCTGGTCCAACCTTAGAGAGCTGACTCACCACCTGTGGGTTTCCGTTGTTACAGCTGTTGAATGAGGATGAAGGAGCCCCGTGGGCTGTTAACTGTAAGGTAAGCTGAGTTCAAAACCACCAGATGCCCCACGGGAGAAAGATGAGGCTTTCTACTCCATCAAGAAGTACAGTCTGGGAAACTCACAAGGGGACAGTTCTACCTGTCTTACAGGGTGACTAAGAGTCAGAATAACTCCATGGCCGGCCTTGAGTTTGATTTTGAGTTCTTGGAATGAGGATGACGTGTCCCCCCCCTCCACTCCCAGGACAAGTGTGAAGACATTGTTAAAGGGACAGGACATCCCTACCTCAGAGCAGTCCTTACTCACTGGGATTAATCATTGTGCCTTTGCAGTCAGTAACACTCCTGCTTTTCCAATGCCTCCCTCCTTCCTTCTCCGGGCTTCCTACTTTCAGAGACAGGGCCCCATTCTCTTCTTGAAATGCTTAGGACAGATTAAGTTTGAAAATCCTGAGTTCTCTCAGCACTCAGCTCTCCAGCCTCTGGTACCAGTAGGCTATATTTTATATACAGTAGGCTATATTTTATATACAGTAGGCTATATTTTATAACACCTCCAGCGGGCTCGGGGTCCATTCCTCATGAAATAATCATGCTGCTGTTTCTGCAGGGAAATACAGGACACTCCAAATCCTAGGGAAAAAAGTGTGGCTCTTGTCAATTTGGGTCTGCTTTTGCTGCCAAGTGAGGTCAAGTCAGGTAAGGTCAGGCCTTGCTGTCAAACAAGCTCCCAAACACATTTTCTGCTTCTGAGATTCAGGGATTGGAGGTAAGGGCTGTCTGGTTGTTGTTGTACATCGAGCCTCCTCTAATGTTCTTGTCTTGATTCCGGCTATTGCTCCAAAGTGCTCTCCACCTCTTCACTTGTTCAATAATGACTGAGGCCAAGGGGAGCCACAGGAAAGCTGCTGAACAGCCTTTTCCTGCTCAGCTGCTTCCAACACAGCCAGGGTCACCTATGAGCTCCATACCCCGGAACACTCAGCAGGTGCTGTAACTACCCCACCACCTGAGATGATCAAAGATCCACCCCAGCCAGCACTCTTTCCAGGAAACCTTGGCCTGATGATGAGCGAAGATATTCGAGTCCCAAACTAAATGCCATCCTTCCCAGCAATGTGAAAAGGAGCTCTGGTAGAGAAGTGGGTTATACACTGGGCTGCTAATAGCAGGGTCAGCAGTTCAACTCCACTAGCCGCCCATTGGAAGAAAGATAAGGCTTTCTGTTCCCCTCAAGATTTACAGTGTCAGAAACCTACAGGGGCGGTTCCACCCTGTCCTACAGGGTTGCAATAAGTGAAACTGACTTGCTGGTAGTGAGTTTGGTGTGAGTTTTGAGCAATGGGGGTGGTAGGGGGATAACTAGGGAGATAAAAGCCCAAATGAGCCTCCCAGGAGCTTAACTTCTGCTCAAAGAATCATGGAACGAGAAACCAGGGTGGTGGAGACAACAGGGAGAGGAGAGAGACGAGGTTCCAGAAATTTCAGCTCAATGCACAAGGGCTGACCTTGGATGAGTCAGTATGAAAGTGATGGACAGATGACCCTATCAGGGAGAAATGGGAACCACGAACATCTCTAGTTCAGCGTCCACCAGATAGCCATTCCCACAAGGGCCAGATGGGGACAGCTAGAGAAAAGGAGTCAGCTGGCTTACTGAGGCAGACAGGTGGCTCCACCCACATGTCTATGTTGGGGGGGGGCTCACCACCACACCGTGCCTTCTCTGGGCCCAGAATTCTCTGGCTTCCTGGGACTTCTTTCAATCTCCCTAAAGTCAGTCTCAGAGACGTCATGCGCTCCCAGCTCACTCTCCCACTTCTGTGTGCGGCTGCTTGCTCAGGGGTCAGCTTCTCAGTGAGGCTTTCCCTAATGACGTTAAAACAGCACAGCCTTCCCCGTGGTTCCATACCGGCCTCCTCAAGCCTTCTCTCCCCAGAGCGCTGTGCCCCTTAGGTACCATCAGCCCATTCCAACTCATAGCAATTTCACTGGGCAGAGTAGCACCACCCCCATAGAGTTGGGCATTGTGCTGCTAATCGCAAGGTCCTTGGCAGAGAGAGGGGCTGGACTTTCTCTGCCCATAAGAATTACAGCCTTAGAAAGCCACAGAGGCATTTCTACCCTGCCATAAGGTGCCCATGAGTCAGAATTAACTGGATGGCAGTGGGTTTCTTGTTGTTTTGTTTTTTTCATCTTTATGGGAGCAGACTGCCAGGGCCTTTCTCCTATGGCGTCACTGAGCGGCTTCAAACTGCCAACCTTTAGCTATAAGTCACACCTGGCTAACTCTTTCACTGCTAGGGTTCCTTCCGTAACACTGAGTGTACCCTTGATAGATTTTAACTCATTTCTTTATGTGACTTAGGAGACCTGGTAATATCGTGGTTATGCCTTGGGTTACTAACTGCAAAGTCAGCAGTTTGGAAGCCCCAGTTGCTCCTTGGGAGAAAGACAAGGCTCTCTACCCCTGAACAGAGTGACAGTCTCAGAAGCTCACAGGACCAGTTCTCCCCTGTCTTCCAGGGTCTCGATGAGTCGGCGTCCATTCAATGGCACTGAGTTTTTGTGTGTTTGTGTGATGTGAATTAGTCTTTCTGCCCCTCAAATGTAAACTCCATGTGGGCAGACACTTTGGAGTTGTGCTTTCTCAGACTCTCCAAGGTCTGGCATTCAGCAAACATGCAGTCAACATTTTTCCCACTAAATGAAAAGACCCCTAGATACCCGGAAGAGGAGAACACAGCAGTTGGAAGGAAGCTGAGCCATTTACAGGAGTGGGGAGCTTGGCTTCTGGTATATAAGCCAGAGATAAGACATTTGAGGAACACCAGAGTTTTCCCATTCATCCCAATTAAGGCCCCTACTGTAGCACACGTACATGTAGGTAACCGTAGCACACCTACATGTAGGTAACGGTAGCACACCTACATGTAGATAAAGGTAGCACACCTGCTTGTAGGTAAGCTGACGGACCAACGTCACTTGGTCCAACTGCAACATAAAGATAAAGTGGTTGGTGCGATGGAGGAAATTCCTCGTGACTCAGCCGAGGTAATGGGGAACACACACCCAGCCGGTCACCTCCTCCCAGTGCCTCGGAGAATCCAGGGCTGCCATAGAAAGCCCGGAATGAAGAAGCGCTAGAAGCGCCAAGGATGGTGAAGACGCGCATGCAGGAGACAGAGGGAGGCACCGAAAGACGACTGCGGAGGAACCGGCAACTCGAGAAATAAGCCCAGCCACTTCTCAGCACACGTTACCCACAGGAGCCAACCCGGCAAGCTCCAATCAAACGCAAGCCAACTCGGCAACCTTAACGGTCAAAGCCCAGGATTGAGGCGGAGCCCGAGGCTGCAGCGCTCCGCCGCTCTGCGGGAGAAAGTCAAGGCTCTCTCTGCCGGTGAAGAGTTACAGTCTAGGAAACCCACAGGTACAGGTTCGCTATGAGTCGACATGGACTCGACGGCAGTGACTTTGGTTAGAGTTCTTGCCCCTCAAACGTCTAGGCTCAAAGACAGGGAGGAGTTGTTAAGGGCTGCTGGCAGGCACCTCGGCTTCTGGACAGCACCGGATAAGTGAACTAGGTAATACAGTACAAGGGAGGGAGGCTGGAGAGCGCCAGCGCGCGCGCCAGGCCAGCCTGTTGCCGGCCGCACCGTGCGCAACGCGGGGCGCGAAGGAGAAGCGCCAGAGGAGCAAGTGGACTTCCAGGCTGCCAAGGAGGAGGAAATGGACAAAGCGGTGGGGAAAGTTACAAAGAGGCTTTTGCAGGATCGCGGAGGGTCGGAAAACAAGCGGGGCCCCGGAAATAAAAGAGAAGCGCGGAGCAAGTAGAAACCGGGGCGGCGCGTTACCTGGTTGCTGTCCCTCCGGACCGGCGTCGGCGGGGCTTCCCGCGGCGAAGCAACAAAGGGTACTCCAGAGACAGAGCAGAGCCACGCGGCTTCTCATCCTGCCCGTCGCGCCCCCTCCCCTTAAACTGCAGAGCCAAATCCAAACCCCACACACCGCCTGCCCGGCTTCCTGCACCCAGCACTGGGCAGGCCCGCGTGGGCAGCCCTCTCTCCAGCAGCCGTGGGGGGGCTAGGCAGTTGAGGGTGGGCCACAAGGAAGGAGGACGTGGAAAGGGACAGCCTGGCTCAGCCGCGGCGCGGGCTGGGGGACTGGGGATCCGGTCGGCCCTTAGGCTGCGCGTTAGGAAACAGGCTCGCTGCTGTCACTGCGCGAACTCCCGGTGAGTTCGTGTTTAAAGGATCGGAGTCATCTGACCCATCGCCAGATGGTGATTTGCATAATTTATTCTCGTCTCTGGACTCTGATTGGTCACACCTTCGCTGACGCCCGCACCGAGATTTCCCAAAGTTTGAATGAAAACGCCGCACACCCCACCGCGTGGAGGTGCCTCCGGCGCGGCTGCGCGCGCGCGTCCTCTCTGCCCTCTTTGCCCGCTGCCGCGTCTCGAACGACTCTCCTCCACCCGAGCCCTACACACACAGCCCCCTCTGCCGCCCCGCGGGGTCATCTCCCCAGAACCCTGAGTCGGTTGGGAACACTATCCCTGGAGAAGGAAGGTCCACCTTTCCAAGACGCAAAGCACCCCTCGACCAGTCCTCCCACGCAGCGAGGCCAGGGACAGGTGAAGGGGGCAGGCGTAGGCAGCGTGATCGGAGGTGCCCTGGGCTGTGGCCGGGGTTCAAGGTCTGCGCCACCAATCAGCAGGTGCAAAATTCCAAGCAACCCCCTAAATTTCTTTACGGCCGCCCCCTGGTCTGCAATATAGGGGTGGTTAGAGGTGCTACGGTAACACAGAGGCTGCGCTGAACCGCTTAGGCCAGCGCGTGGCACGTGGTGGGCGTTCTCTTACCCCGGGGGGCGGGGGGGGCGGGGACCGAGGACTGGAGCGATGCCAGGCGACCCTCCGCACAGGGAGCTTTCTTTGGACGGAGATCTGGGCGTAGGGCGCGAAGCCAGCCCGGACTCTCGGGTCGCCTCACGAGAACTACCTGTTGAGTGGAATCCAAAAGTGTCTTTCTCGATTCTCCAGTGTCTTCCCCACCCCCCTCTCCCTTTTCCCTCTGGCGGTCGGGGTCCCTGCTCCTCCCCGGTCCCTCTGCGGCTCCTCCCCAGAGCCCAGGGCTGACAGCGCCAGCTCCCAGAGGTAGTGGCGTCCGCTGCAAGAGAACCAGGCTTGAGTGGGGGTCCCAGCTGGCCGCGGTCCAATTAGCCAGTGAGTTTCCATAACCCCAGAGGGGGGATTTAGAACTGGCTGTCAAAGGGCTGCACGGGGCGCCGCCCATCCCTCCCCTCCGCTGCCTTGTTCCAGAGGGCACCCTTGACCTTGATTCATCCCGGAGCGCTGGGAGCCTGCCCAGTACCTGTCGGAGAAGGAAACGGGTAAGAAGGTGGTGCCCGTTGCTCTCTGGGAGACTTGTGCAGGGCAAACCAGTGCTGAGCAAGCAGGTTCCGACTCTTGTTACTCCTGCTGCCAGTAGGGTCCCTCTGCGTGTTACAAGCAGGCTGGCTTTCTTATCTGGATAAAAACCCAACACGCTCTAGAAAATACATGGTAAATGCCTCCTGCAGTGTTGCTTCCGCCCCCTTCCCCCTCTCCACTAGCCAAATAGACACTGAAGTCCAGCTTCTCCCTGTGCAAGATGGAAACCTGAGGCACCGATACTGGCAGGTTTGGGGGATTCTTCCGACAACCGCGTCTCTCTCGTGTGCTCTGGCCTTGATTTGCCGATGTGTCCCTGGATATGAGTCCTGGACCGCTGTGTTTCCAGCTCAGTGGCTCTCACACTGGCATCGAGTCGGTTCTAACTCACAGCGACCCGGGGGAGAATTCAGTCTTTCCCAAAGTAGGAGATACTGCTTCCACTGCCATGATCCAGGCACAAAATCAAATACCTACACTTAATCCTGGACAACAGTACAAACACTTTTTAACTTCCCCGGGATGGAGGGGGGTGGGAGTGAGCAGAGGTGAGTACTTCATGTTTTTCCTGAAAGGGGGGCCCTATCGATTTGAGAACCTTTTCAGGTAATAAATAATCTGGAAACAAATTCATTTCTCTGTTCTGAGCCATAGACCCTGGCCAGTGTGCAGGAAGCCTCTTGGCAGTCCGAGGAGGAGTCCGGGTGGTCTTTTAAAGTGGGTCTTTCCTGTCTGGAAAGGAGTGGGGGTTGAGAAGAGGCATGGGGGATCCTGGTTAAGGACTATCAATGTCCACTTTTTAAACTGCTAACACTATGGCGACGTGGGTTACATGTGGAACTGCTAGGCACAAGGCCACCAACCTCTCCATGGGAGAAAGATGTGGCAGTCAGCTTCCACATAGATGTCAGCCTCCGAAACCCTCTGGGCAGTTCTGCTCTGTCCTGGAAGGCCACTGTGGCTGGACAGCAGTGGGTGGGAAAGCGATGAAGGCTTTCTGGTTCTGTTGCCAGTTGGTTAGAGTGCCCTCCTGTGTCTCCAGGTTATAATGCCATGTGAGACAAGGGCCGCGTGAGATGTGTCATAGCACTGGAGTTACAGGAGCATCATCTGTTACCCTTCAGAAAGTTACCGCAAGAAACATGAATTGAGCTGAGAGCTCCCCATGTGGAGAAATCCCCAGCTCAGGAATCTCAGCAGAAACTTCAGTGGGTGCTGCATTCAAAATATCCAGATGGTGGGCTCCCACAGTATAGGACCGGTGGTTCCTTTTGGTAACCCATCAACTGAAGACTCTTGAAATGTTAAGGAATGACTCCCCCTCTGGTGAGAGGAGCCTACCTTCTGTAAAACCTGGCACACAGAAAACCAAAAATCAAACTCTGACTCCTACCAACCCTATAGGACAGGGTAGAGCTATTCCTGTGGGTTTCCAGGACAGCAAATCTTTATGGGAATAAAAAGCCTCCTCTTTCTACTTCAGAGGGAATGGTGGTTTTGAACGGCTGACCTTGTGATTAGCAGCCCAACTAGTAGCCCACTGTGCCACCAGGGCTCCTGGCACACAGAAAGAGCCCATGAAATACAGAATGAGTGCACAAGGAAGCCAGATGTGACGCGCCAAGAGTGGGTAGAGTGGTCAGCATGTGCTAAGCTGATTTGAAACTTCTCCCCACACTGAGGTCAATGGGAGATTCAAATCCTCCAGGAACACAGATTGGGAAGCACTGGCCTCCTCATTGTCACCGAATTGATTCTGGCTCCCACCAGCCCTAAAGGACAGAGCAGAACTGCCCAGGGGGGGTCCAAGGCCGAACTCTGTTGCTCTGCCCGGAAGCACACTTGTCTTTCTTCCTTGGGGCGGCTAGTCGATGGAGTCATCCTTTTGTTGTTGTTGTTGGTAGTGGTGGCGGCAGCGGCAGTGGCTACAGCTCAGTGCTTTAACCACTAAGCCCCTCAGACTCCTAGCATTGGGTAGGTGACAGTGGTGACAGAGAAAGTTAATTGAGTCCCTCGGTTTAAAACCTCTGAATGCGGTGTTTTTGTTTTCTTCTGTTTTTCTGTATTTCGTTTTCTATGTTCTTCTGTATATGAAATCCAGAGGGGGAGAGCTATAGACAGTAGCTTCATCGCTAGCTTCCTGGTGGGTGTGGCAAGGAAGGTTGGGGGAGGTGGGACACTGATAATAATGGGTATAAGAGGGAAGGGAACGTTCTAAAGTTGATTGTGGAGCATGGCCAATACATACATGAGAAAATGTAAGGGGAAGTGACGGTCTCCTGAACAGGGAGAGCATTTGCAACATGCCTGTGTCTATGCATAAAGCTGGCTGGCCAGTA